GCTGCGTCTTCCGTCGTTCCTCGACGCGCGACGAAACTCCGATTCGCGTCCGGAGTTCGGATTCCCCGGGGGGATTCGGACCTCGGGAGCGGAGAGGATGGTCCGCGAACGAGAACGCGAAAAACAGGAAAATAAACAAGGTACGACCGGTTTCTACATTCGCACGCTCCCGCGAAATGGAACCGATGCGATCCGAAAGAAAATTCTCAGAAATCCCAGCGGGTTTCTCGATTATTTTCCCTCGAAGAACCGCAGTAGCGCGGAGGCGAGAGAGTTTTAGGAAGCGACCGTTTAGGACGTGGAGGTCGTGGAACGTAAGAAAGACGTCACATTCAGGCGTCTGGTGGTTCTCCCGCTTGAGCAACATTTTTCAGGGCAATGGAATTCCTCGAGGCAAGTCCTATCACCGGTTCTCCTCGAGTACAGGGTGCCCGACGACAACGATTTTCCTCCTCGTCCGTTCCGTCCCGTTCCTTGCAAAAAATGCGGGTCCTGCCTCCTCTCTCGGATTTCGAGTCCGCTCGCGCAGCGGAGACTCCGCGATCCTCCGCGAGGAGAAACGAGACGTCTCGTCGCCGTCTGCCGACCGATCGGCCGGTGACTCACTCGTCGCATTCTCGCCGTTGCGAAGTGCGTGGAAACGATAGCGACGGTTGCGACACGGCTCCTTCGTCTTCCCACGAACGCCACCGCGTGGCGCTCGCCACGAGAACCCCGCTTTCTCGACCATCTGTTCGCGCTTCGGCTTCGCGTCTCCGGTCCTTCCTTGTTTTTTTTTTTTTCCTCGCAGATTCGAAGCCGAGTCGGTCGAATCGACTAATTACGTGCGATAACAGAGGAAGAGATCTTCGAAATCGGTTGCACCCATCTACGAACCGTGCGTGCTGGAAGGGCTTCGTAGGGGAGACCCCCCGCTGGTCTCGTAGGGGAGACCCTCCGCTGGTCTGACGGGGGAGGACTTCCGCTGGTCTGACGGGGGAGGATCCCCCGGACTTCTTCCCGCCGCGTACGAATGCAGGCGACACGATCGCCCTCGTGGGTCGAGAATTTAAATTCGGCCGCGGATCGGCCGTCGTAATCGGTGCGATTCCGCAACCTCGAATACGAAAGTCTCTTAAAACAGCACGAATTCCATGCAAAGCTGGGATTCGACACGGGCGTCGAAGAAACACGGTCGCCTGGGGGCATCCACGAGCAAAGGGAAGAAAAAAAGAGTCGGTGCGAGGTGCATGCGAATCCGTTTTTGCACCATCGATTTCCCGAGTCATCGTCTCTCGTGACGTGGACCGGTTTCTTCTTCTCCCTGCCGGCAGATTCAAAGCGATCGTTCGGGCACGGCGTAAGGAATCGACACTCGCCTGTCGCACCTCCGCCACCTTCGTCGAAGAGCCACCATCCGTGGAATCCCGAATGGCTGGAAGTGTCGTGGCGCTCTGTCGATGCCGTACCACCTTCCACCCCGTCCCCCCACGGTGCCGTACCGTCTTCCACTGCAGGCGTGCTTCGTGCACGCCGCGAGTCGCGAGTTCGCGTTCGCTTGCGAACGGCGAGCGACATCTCGCAGAGACGCGCTCGTCGCGGTGGCGTTCCGTACCGGAAGACCCGTCGCCGTCGTCTCGCTCTCCGAAGCGGACGCGACCGCTTCGTTCGATTCCGACCGCGTGCGTCGCCGGATGCGCGAACCGCAGCGAAACCGGGTCGAATCGTGCGTCGAGATTCCACGGACGGACGACGGCATCGCGCGCTTCGCTCGTGGGTGCCCCTCTCGTTGATGGCCCCATGGAAAGGGTGGACGTGGAATGAAAAGACTTTTCCCACCCGTTTCGGGGGATCCTCCCGGCGAGGAGCGAATTCCCTTCCCTCCTCTCTTCCTCCATTCTCTTTCCACCTCTCCGGAGTCGATGCATTCTACCGTTCCTCGGCCATTTAAATAAGTTTCCGTGCGGCTTCTCCAGTCTCCCACCGCGGATCTCGACCGAAGGGACGAAGCGAGAGGGCGGAAAGATACATTTTATTTTTCGTTTACGTAACAGAGACGGGTTTGGATCCGTCGGGGAACGCGGATTTCGCAAAACGCCATGATTTATGCGACCGGAGTCGGACGGACGCAGAGACGGAACGAGCCGAGAACCTGTTCCGTTTCTATCCTAATCCTAATCTATCCCGAGTCCTAATCGCGTCTCGATCGGGAGTCGAGGGGGGCAGGGGGGAGGGGACGATTTCCACGACCTTCGGCGGGGACTGGATCCGCGAGGAGTCCGACCCCCGAATCATTAATCATCCGAGCTTAAATCCACCGAAATCGACTTTAATCATCATCGTTCCCTTTCCTGGAAAGACGTCTCCCCTGCCTTTCTCGTCTTCGATATCACGTCGCGGCGACCTCGGCGGCAAGTGGCGGCCGATATCGCGAACGCGCGGTATGCTGCCGTCGTTCTGCGGTCGAGTGGACGTTGCGGCCGCGGTCGCCGCCGCCGTCGCGACGATCGGATGGAATCCGCCTCGGCAGAGCCTCTCTCGAGAACGAGACGAGGACCGGAGACGGGAAGTTTCGTCGCGGACGAGACGACGAGGGCCGAATCGGACGTTGAGGAATGGGAGGCGGAGGAGAAGTGTCCTTCGCGCGATGCGTCATGCCCTTTATGCTCTTTATGGACGGGTTCGGCTGGAGTCCGCCTTCTCTCCGTCTCGTCCGAATCCGTTCGAGGCCGAGCCTGCGCTTGCGCCCGAGCGCTCGTCTTCGCCTTCGTGCCCGTCTTCGCCTTCGCCTGCCGCAGGGACGAGCGAACGACGAGAAAATTCACCACTTTTTCTCCGACCAGTTTTTCTTGCTCTTTCTTTCCGAGTCGGACGAGAAGAGGAAATTCCGGACTCGAGACCTTTTTTTTGCCGTCCTTGCACTACTTCCCTGCATTTGAATTCCAGGACACGCGGCGCTGACCTTCATCCAAACTTTGCCCTTTGACGACGGTCGTTCCCGAACCGGAAAACAAGCCCATCCCCGAAAACAAAAACGCGAACGTGGACGCGAAGGAGTTTGCCCCTCGTCGGCCCCTCTTTTGCCCCTCGTCAGCCCCCGTTCCGCCCCGGAAAAAAGCCATCAGGAAATGGGGGGAAAGGGGGAAAAGGGGAGGGACCGGACACGATCGCAAGGAGATCATGCCTTTTTTTCCCTCTTTTCATTCTACATTGTTTTCCCCATTCTATGTCGTCTCCCCCCTCTCTATCTCCACTCATCTCGTTCTAGATTTTAGTCACCGTTTCCGGGCATCACGGCGAGATTTAGTCGCCCGTTCGCCGCTTCAACTCTCCGGTATGGAATAACTCGACTTCATTTTCGTCTCGATTTCATTTTGCGTTCGGTTTCGGGCGTCTTTCGCATCGGCCGAAACTCGGCCATCTTCAAATCTTCATTTTAGTCTTTTTTTTTGCGCATATCACTTCTTTTTGTAATATTATCGGAGTGATGATTTTGCATGATTTCGTGCCGCTGTTTTTCTATCGGTGAATCACGCCTCGGCTCTCGCAGCACTCAGTTCCCGCTGCAGCGATCGATAGGACCGCTCTTTGCAAACCGAAACGAATCAGACGAGACGAGGAGGGAAGCAGAAGGAGGGAATCACGTCACACTTCTAAAATGACCTTTACTCTGTGGACTCCATTTCTTCTGGCACTAATTACTCGAGAAAGTTTTTTCTCTTGCGTCATTAATTGGACGTGGCAGACGCTCGGTCTCGTCGACCTTAAAACGAGCCGTGCGGAGTTTCCGTGCCGGTTTTCGAGAGTTCGGGAATCGGAAGGAATGGCGAGCGGGACCGGAGACGAGGAAACGAGGACCGGAAAGTCGAGAATCCGGGAATCCGGGATCGCGATCGGGTGGATCGCGAACGATTCAACGGTTCCGTGGAACGTGTGGGAATCGAGCGGATTCGGTGCGTGTCGCAGCCGCATCGCTGCCTCTTCACCGGTCGCGATGGACCGAGACGAACCGTCCGTCTCGCTCCGAGGACGCAAACGCCTACGAGGACTTGGGATCCCGGGCCCAAAACGAACGACCCGGACGTTCCCGTCTTCCGCTTCGCTCTCGGTCGCGGAGACGAACGCGAGGAGACGGACGTGCGGGCCGTCGCGGACGGTCGCGAATCCTCCCGCCGTTTCGCTTCCGTTTCCCGTGCCGACTCGTCGCATCCCGATGCCGGACGCGAAGAACGTCGAGAACGGGGGTATCCGAACTCTCCCGCGATTCCCATTTCTGTTTTTTGGTTTTTCGGTTTTTTCTTTCTGAACGTGTTCGTGGGTCTTATGGAAAGCGAGACGGATCCTTCGCACTCCCGCATTCCATGGAATTCCACTCCAGACGTGCTAAGCACTGGCGCTTCCCATTCGCACCTAAACGAGCGAAGCCCGACGGCACGTGTTTCGTTCGAAAATAGGCGGAACGTCTGTCCGTACGGTTCGGGACCACCGCTTCTTCGCGGACGTTCGCCTGCGAAACGAAACGACCGAGGAAAGGGGGATGAGGATTCTCGTAGCCCGTCTCGTCCGTGACCCTATTAATTATTCATTCATTTAAAATTTCCCCAATTAAATTTGCCTTCGTACGCGCCGAGTTTCACGGTGGAATCGAATCACCGAACGGCACGACTAATTCCACGATTCCATTTTAACCTCATTCCAAGTGCTTCGTCTCCACATAAAATAATACTGTATAAACCTCTTTCGTCGCGTATAATTTTGCATAGAAATTCGTCCTCGACGAACCGATCGAGGTCGGTGAATCTATTTTAAGGGTCGAAGACGACACGGGTCGAGAAGGCGGCATTTCCCGTCGACGATCCCCTCTAGATTTCTTTCTCTCGACGATGCGACCCGCTCGTTTGGATCTGCACGAAACGGCGGCAGACCTCTCGAAATATCGACATTCCGAATCCACAATCGATCGGAAGAGACGGAAAGGACAGAGAGGACCGAGGGGGGCAGAAAGGACAGAAAGGACTCACGGGGAAAGAAGAAGTTCCACCGGGAAAGAAGAAAGCCGTCACCCGCAAGAGTTCACGCGCCACGCGACGCGACACGGGAGAGGGAATGCGAGAGACTGAACGCAAGTGAAGCGGGGAAGCCAAAGGGAGGTTAGAGGGAGGTAGAGGGAGGACGGAGGGAGGCGGAGGGAGGCCGGGAATCACGTGGATCCCAAACGAGGCGTTGCGGCATTCCTGCCCTCACCCACCCACCCATATATGGGAGCGGGGATGCCACCTCGCCACCCTCAAGGTCCGTCTCCTCGCTTCCTCGCCTTCCTCGAGTTTGTCCCGGGTGGGACCACCCCGACCAACGAGGTCGCGTCCGAGCGAACGTCCCCCATCCCCCATTTTTATTTTTATTTTTATTTGGGAAGATAAATCAAAATCCGTCATACTTGTTATGGTTCGGGCTCTTTCACGGATGCAAGGCCCGTCGCGACGCACGAGTCGGAATTTCCTCCTACGCGCAGTCGCGGGAGCGAGCGCTCTCGCGTCTCCGTTTCGCTCCCGTCTCCGGAGACCTCGACGCCCGGATCTCGACGGATCCCGCGAGACCTCGTCTCGTTCGCGGCGGTCCCAGACGAGAGAGGGATTCGGTCGACGTCGCCTGCACACGCGGGGAAGGTCGAAAACGGTGGGTTCAACCTATTTTGCCCACACCCGACCGTTTCGCCGTATCTCGCCCCGTCATCGCAACGAGGCGAGAGACGGCGTGGGAGCTAACCCAAAACTCCCTTCCCTTTTCTTCCTTTCTCTTCCCTTCTCTTCCCTCCTTTTCCCCCTCTTTTCCCTTTCCTTCCTTCCCGATTCCAAAAAGTGTGGAATCCGCCCACGCAGTCAGTCTCTTCGCCCCATTTTTCGGACTCGTCCGACGGGTGGTGAACGTCACGCAACGCAAGGAGTCCGGTCGATCCGGAACGAACGACCCGTCTCCGTCCGGGATTCGTGGGTCCTATCCGACGCGGAATTCGTCGTTCTCTCGCGATCCGGAATCCCGAATTCGTGACCGACGCGCTCGACGGATTCCAAAACGGCAGTTCGATTGCAGTTCGGTTCTCGTTTCGATTCGGACTCGAGTCCGATCCGAGTTCCACGGTGCTCTCGTCGGCTTCCACTGCAAAAAGGAATCTCAACTGGAACTGCAACCGAACTGCAGTTTCGATGGGAACCGTGAGGGAGTTTCGCGGCTCGGTTCGTCTTCTCGGCCACCTGGAGCCACATGGAACCACCCCGTTTCTTAAACTCATCCATATTCACGGGGGGCATGCTTCTCTGTCTCATTTTGTAAACATTTACTAATTTATGCATGCACGTCCGCGAGCGCATTCCCGGTGAACCCGTCCGCGTGAGCGATCGCGAAACGAGAGTCGCTCGGTTTGCCTTTGCTCTCTGCTGCGCTTTTCACGCCCGAGGAGTCCATCGAGGAACGGGAAGGACGAAAGAGATCGCCTCGCAACTCACGATGCGAACGGACGGAGGAGGTGGAGAACGCGATGCGGAACGACGGAGGAGACGAGGCGAAACGCGAACGGCGCGATCGGGACTCGATTCTCGCTTCGCTCGTCCTCCGTTTTCTTCCGGGCGCCGAACGTCGTCTTCGGTTCCATCGAGTTCCTGGACTCGTCGCGACGCATCGAGAAACTCGCGACCTTCGGGACCGGCGACCGGAGTTCTCTCCGTCCTCTTTCGCCAAAAAATGAGCCGAAAGCCTCAATGTGGGAACATCCGAATCGACAAGTTTTCCGAGAATTTTCTCGACGACTCGTAAAACGATGCCTTTCGGTCTCTCCTTTCTTCGTCGGCACGACCCCTTCCGTTTAATTCTGTTGCAATCTCGACCGTCGTAAAAAAAAAATCATTGCGGTCACGATCCAATATTTGGAACCATAAATATCGCGATGAGGATGCGATAATCATTCTCGATTAAAATTTGACAATCGCAATGAGATTGCATTTCCATCAGATTCCGATCTAAATAATATTGCCCGAGAGCAATATAACTGCATTCGGCTATTTATTATAACCGAGGTGAGTTCGACATTTCGTCTGGAAAAAAATAATAAATCCGACTCCGTCGCGGACGATCGGTCGGAAGCGAAAATTCCTCTTCGTTTCGAAACACGTCACGAAACACGTGACCAAAAAAGAACCTCGAAAGCTTAGATTTAGTGTCGGAATGCCTCCCGCCGAGTTTCTTCGTTTTCCCCACGGGGATCCGAAGGGCAAATAAAATAAATAAAGATGAGACTGGAAGAGGCACTTTCTACGAGAAAAGTCCGTGCGTGAATCCGAAAGCGAAGGTGAAACGAGATGCCTGGGGGTCAGGCGATGCAAGGCGACGAAAATCACCCAACCGTGCACAAATTCATTTATCTATAGTCATTTTTTATTTATGGATTTATTAATATTTAAAAACCACCGAAGGAAATTGCAGAGATTTACATATCGGTTTTCAAATCCCGAATTATCATATACAAGGAAAGGCGAAGTCTTGCAGCCCTATCGGCTACCTAGCCTATATATGTATGTATGGATGGATGGATGGATGGATGGATGTGGATGGATGGATGGATGGATGGATGGATGGATGGATGGATGGATGTGGATGGATGGATGGATGGATGGATGGATGGATGGATGGATGTGGATGGATGGATGGATGGATGTGGATGGATGGATGGATGGATGTGGATGGATGGATGGATGTGGATGGATGGATGGATGTGGATGGATGGATGGATGGATGGATGGATGTGGATGGATGGATATGAACTAGCAGAGCGTTGCACGGGTGAATATTGGATACGTCTCATATAGGGTTTAATAATAAGTAGCTTTTACTACACAACCGATTACAAAATTCCAGTAGCAAACTGCATGTAACAACTTAAATTTTTTGAATGAGCCCCAAAATTTAGACTCCTTGGGGGGTCTGTGGTAGTGGATTGGCCAAATCTGCACTAAATAAAGTACCACGGGGGGTCCAAATTTTGAAACGCCATCTAGCCTATGACCATCCCCGGAACAAATGAGGAAGTCATGCAAAGTTTGGTCGGACTGGGATCAGAGGCATGGCCGTGCATAAAGGACACACAGACACACACACACACACACACTCTCTCTCTCTCTCTCTCTCTCTCTCTCCCTGAAATTTAATAGAATAGATAGATACAGTAGATACAGTTGACGCTCAAAATGACAAATTTTCATTTTTATGAATATTTTTCCAGTTCCCGGTCGTTTGCTCATTGCTCAAAACTTTTTCCAACTTTTGCATCTCGAATAGTTGGGTTTTACGAACAGATTTTTTCGTCCTCGGGGAGAAAACCGTTCCGCGTTGCGAAGTTTAAAATCTGTACGTCACGGCTACTTTCTTTCGTGCATTCCCGGAATATCTCATCTCGCATCTAAATTTAGCACGTTGCACCCACTCGTGGGTGTGGCCGCGAGGGGCATGGGGGCGACGTCGGTCGGTCTCTTCAGGATCCTGCGGGTGTCCGTCGACGTTTCCGTTCGGTCCCGCGATCCGAACCGGAAACCGTCTTCGCCGTCGAAGGTGAAAGGCCGAAACTTTTTGAAAGGTGGAGTGCCACGGGGAGCATGCCACGGGGACCGTGCCGAAGGGACCGTGCCACGAGGGCTCGAAGAACCGTCTCGTTTGGAGCTCGGCAGGACGATCGTTTGGGAATTTCCGATCGATAGAAGGCGTCCGTGACTCGTCTGATTTTTATCACACCTACGTGAGAACGTATTGCCGTACACGCCCATTTAGGTGCGTACGTGCATCTTGGAACCCGTATTGCTTCAATATGGCACGCGCTTAGACCTTCGCATTTTTCCACGAACGGACGACTATTTTTTGTCGTTGCAATAAATGGCATTTCGAGTGCGAGACGTGAGTTTGACGGGTCTCTTGTTCCAGATGAATGTGGGGAATCCCCTTCAAGGAATTTTCCTCGCGGCGGATTTTTTTAGCCCGTCCCTTCGAATCCGTTGCATCGAGCGCCGACAGAATGAATGATTTTACACTGGCGGTTGGGGTCGTCGCGGTTTCTTGATGGACGAAACGGATTCGGCAACCCTGTGTTTGCTCTTCCCTGCGATCGGGCGGATTCGCCCGAGAAGTGTTTGCCTACCGAGTTACATTGTTTGACGGAGAATGCGTGGGACAAGCATTTGTCGTGTGTTTGCAGTGAAGAATGCCTTTCGAATGCCTTTTCGTCTCCGGTCTCCGACCGCTTCGTTTACGACTCAATCGGCTCCGTCTCGCCTTCGAAAGCGAACCGGGACTGCGGCCGATCGGGGGTCGACCGAGGGTCGAGACAAAGTCCAACTCGTGTTCCTTCACGCTCGGGAAGTAGAGATGGTCGATCTTTGAAACTCGGCTCGTGTTCTTGCGATAAAAGTGAGAATGAGCCGATGTGGACCCCGACGGTGAGCACCCGGGCGCTTGGGCATCCGGACACATGGACGCCTGGACACACGCGTCCGGCTGGAAAACTTTGGCTACTTTCCGCGTGCGAAATAATTGTGCCGTGCGAGGCGAGCACCGTCGTCCGATTCACAAAGCTCATGGAATCCGAGAGGAGTTAGCACGTTTACATGAAAACAATGAACTCTTAGAACGAAAAAAAAAATATTCGTGACGACGAGATGAATAAAAAAAAACGCTTGACACGAGTGAAGCTGCTCTCGAGTCGAGGGGGAAAGTGACTCTTCTCAAGTTTTTTTACTCGTCATCCGACGAAGGAGCATCGCGAGACTCATTCATCCAAGTTTAAGCGATTCCTGGCGAAAATGAGAAACAGAGGCGACAGAGGCGATAGGGACGACAGAGCTCGATGAAGGCAGTGCGAAGTGGCAGCGACGTCCACGGAGAGGATCCATCGCGTTTCCTCGAAGGGCGCTTTAGGGAAGGATCCAGTTCATCGATGATCGCGCAACACCGGTCGCATCTCACGCGAGATCGCCGAGATTCTCGGAAATCGGCGCCCGGGAACCCTCCATCGTGCATTCGACGGCTCTGATTTCAATGTCGCCTGTCGTCTGTCGTCTGTCACCTGTCGTCTGCTTTCT